TTGGAGCATGACGTCAATCACATCCACCAGCTTGATTTTCTTGTCCTTCATGGACTAGATCTTCTTTTGAAGTGCTGGCACCTCCTCCGGGTTGCCCCAATCCAAGCCCTTCTTCGTCTAGGAGACGAACTGCCTCAGGGGCCCAGCTGAGAAGGCTGGGACCTTTGTTTGACTCTCGACAAGTGGCTCATTGATGTAAAACCACTCCCGCCGCCAGGTTTTAATTGTCTCCACAAAGGTGCCTTCTGGCCAAGTCACCTCTGGAGCTTGTTAATCATGGCCCCGCCAAATTCAGCTAATTGGGCGTCGCCGCTCTTCGTCTTAATGTTGAACGTCTTCAGCAATAAGCCAAAGTGTGGCTCGACGGGCAGGAAGGCCTCATAGACGATGATGAACACCGTGAGGTGGAGAATGGAGTTTGGGGTTAGGCGATGAAAATCCAGCCCATGGTATAAGAGACCCCCCCCCCCCCGCACGAAGGGGTGCAAGGGGAACCATAGACCTCAGACGAGGTGGGAGATGAAGATTACCCTCTCCCCTGGCATGGGAGTAGAGACACACTGGTTGGGCTTCGGGGCCCAACAGGCGGCGTCGACAAGGATGTACCCCGCGGTCCAAAGCTCCTGATGGTTCCCTCCTTGACATTGGAGGCCACCCACTAGCCCTTCAGATTGGCGTCAGCCATCGCCGAAGGGGAGGTGCGAGCACTGAATGGAGGTTGAGAAGTTTGGGAATGGATCTAGGGCGCTGGAGCTCCGGAAGCTTTGAGCAATGGCGCACGGGGTGGAAGCGTGAGGGAAAGTGCATTACTTTCCCCTGCCTTTATAGGTCAGTGAAAGGCCAAAGGCCCCTTTTACTGCCCAAATGAATTGCCATGTTCCAACCCTTGGTGTCATTATACATGCATGGGGTGAAAAATCCTTGATGATATCCCCCGAAATACGGAGCATGATCTCTGCTTTGATGAGACGTGTCAATGAAAGTGTTGCCTTGGGTCGCTATTCGAGCTACAATAATTAGCTCACTTAAGCACCACGGGTGATGACGGTTCGGTAAAAGCTATCAGGCCAGAACACTATTCACACCTATGTGCCAAGCCTTCGAGGCTAAGGTATCTCAAGACTTCGGATGCCGAAGTATGACCCTTAAAACATATGGTCAGCAAGCGGCCCTGTTAAAGGGAAGATCAATAGTTACCTCAAATAAAGGAGAGCTCGGGTTTACATGGAAACCACCTGCAGAGAGGAACTCGCCTGTCAAGCCAAAGACTCCAGGACGAAGACACTAGTCCGAGGAAGATTGTCATTCCTGGCTCCGAAGACAAGTTCAGGGGTTACTGGCAGTGTCCTGGACTAAGGGGTACCAACCTAGTTGGCCCATCATCCATGGGACGAGCTTATGGCCCACCGATCTCACAAGGAAGGACTCCAGAAGCCTCGAACTCTGACGTGACCAAGACGGACTCAGTCGAAGACTTGGCGTGTACTTCAAGGACTACTACACCTATTGGCATGTTTATCCCTAGTTGGTAACCAGCCATGTGTAACCCTAGATACCCCTGGTGCCTATATAAGCCGGAGAGTCTAGTCCATAGAGACACAATCACAATTACTAGCCTTAGGGTTTATAACACAACATACGATCTCGAGGTAGATCAACCTGTACTCGATACTCCATCATCAATATAATCAAGTAGGACGTAGGGTTTTACCTCTTCGAGAGGGCCTGAACCTGGGTAAACATCGTGCCCTTTGTATCATGTTCACCATCGTTCCAAGATCCACAACTTGGGATCCCCTATCCGAGATCTACCGGTTTTAGTATCGACAGTGGGGTTAATATCAACTAAAGTCATGACCTCTCCAAACCCAGTTCTATAAGAAATTCCATGAGATTGATAATTCTCTAAAGTGGTGGGATCATTCTTACCTAAAGTTGATGCTCTTCCGAACCCACTTTTAATATTATTGCAAATTTTATCATCAATAATAGATTCATTATGAGGCTCGGAATTATCAAGATCACAACAAACATCATGATTATCACCCCAATCATGATCATTAGCACAATTGATATTCATAAAATTTATACTAACAACATTGCAATCATGCTTTTCATTCAATTAAAGTATCTTGATAGCATTTTCTTTTATCACTTCTTCATTGTTAGATATTTGTTTATAATATGCAGCAAGTTTGAAAAGATTAGCAAGCGGATGAGGATCCATAGTTATCTTTCTTTTTGGTTTTCACTTTCTGTTATTGTGTGTCAATGATAAGGAAAACATAACTAGGCAAATACGTAGAACAAGTAAATGCGAATGCGTGTGTAGGGACCTTGAGTAACGGCACTAGAAATTCTTTCTGCTACTTGTGCATGTACTTCCTCTTTAGAATTTGATGACAATGATGATGATGATGATGATGATGGTGATGAAGATGAGAGGTGGCCTAGGGGGTCCTTCTTCGGGGTCAAGCGTCGGGCGACCCGATGGGAGGAGGAGATAAAAAGAGATGCTCAAGACACAAGGTGAGGTGAAGCGGATAAAGACAAGATTAGTGAGTTGATCAAGACAAATAAGGAGTTGGAGGAGAAGAGGCAGCAAGAGAAGTTGGAGTTGGAGGGGAGGAACAAGATAAGATGGCACAATGGAAACATATGCATGAAAGTAAAGGTGCAAGGAAGAGATGTAGACGTGTATGCTTTTGCTTGAGGAGTATTGATTAATGCAAGAGACAAGATGATAGAGAAGAACCACTTCATGATGTTGGATCCAAATGCAATGTATGAAACATCAAGATCATTGACAGAGCTGGTGAGCGAAGATCATGTCTTCCAGGATGCAATGGAGCAGCCAATACACTGGAGGAGGGGGTGCACGCATGGGAGGACGTGGCCTTGCCAGTGACATGTGATTTGTACACGTCGATCGAATGTGTTCATGGTGCTTCATCTTTCCTTCATGCATTTCGAGCCTATGATGATTGCTTTTGGTTGAACTTCATGTTATGTTTATATTTGAATTCGATTCTTGAAGAATATGGCATGGTTTGAAATCTTGTTGAATGGCAAAAGATTAAATACATGCGAGAATGAGAATCAAGAGTGTATATGCACAAATATAGGAAAAAATATGAGAGGAAATTATGGAGGCTGTAGAGATACGACAACTCTAAATTAACACAAACGCCCAGTGACCTACAAAAACTTATGAAGGGCACTCCAACTAATTTTAGAGGTGGTTGATATTATGAGTTTGCTAGCTTTACAGTTGTGCATCAAGCCACCGTTCAATCCAGAAGAAGGTGTTTCGGCCATCAAACCATTGGCCAAAGTGGAAAGCACGAATTACACAATCGTGTGTTACAAATTCATATATGTGTATTCAAACATCCCTTTTATCACATGGATGAGAAACATCAATAGGAGGAAAAACACATGAATGGAAAATACACAGAAATTTGATAGACATGTTTTCACAAAATAGAAGAGCACAAAAACCGCACACATGTAGAATAGACATTTTGATGAAATGTAAAGAACTGTATTTCAATCTACGTGAATGAGTGTAAAAAAGAGATCACTCGAACATTTGTGTATCATCTTCTTCCTCCTAGACTCTTTCATTCCTTTTTCTCCTTTGGCCACCCAACTTCCTCCCATCCTTACCTCGCCTTCGCCTGCAGTGCCACGTCAAACCGCGTCATCCCTGCATCCAACAGAGTAGCTATCTAATTCGAGAGGCGATCGAAGGAAAAAGACACCCACCCGCATAGGCACATAGGTCAAATTTCTTTCCCGCCTCCAGCAAGGTAACTATCTAATCCGAGCAACGGTCGGAGTGAAAACCCCTCCTCACACCCGCATCGGTCTAGTTTTTTTCGCCTCTGTCAGTGACACTGCGACAAGCCGCGTCGTCGCACCCGCATAGGTCAATGAGCGGATGTCGAATTTTTTGTGATACCGAGGCACACATGAAAGTCGCATAAAAAATAAGAAAATGTGCTACAAACGTGATAAGCCATTCCAAACCAATCAAGATTAAAATATATATATAGAAAAAAAAACAGACCCAAGACCGTGCAACCAATTGGACGTTCTCCCTCATAGTCCAATACTGCGTGACAGCTCGCATCAGCTCTCTCCAGCTCCTCCCCTTTTTCAGGCCCCCAAAATATCATCCTCCTTTTCCTCAAAAAAAAAAATCATCCTCCTACCCTCCATGGCTCCATCCATGCCCCTACTTCTCTTTCTCTTCTGACCTGACCTACTTATTTTATTAGGCCTTGACCCTTGACTTGTCTAATCTAATCCTCCATGCATGCAATTGCAATGGCCAAAACAAATAAAAGCAGCCACACACACCCTGTAACCACTCACCACTCCCCTCACAGCTCCCACTAGGCACTGGCACTGCACTGGCGCTCCTCCTCCCCTCCTGCAACCCATCAGTCCTCACTCATCTCTCTCTCCACACCGTCTGTGGGAGTAGGGAGTACCGCTCCTAATAATTGATCCTTCGCTCTCCAGTCCCTCGTTGATTTGTTGTTACTCTAAAGATCACCACCAACCACCCTCCCCTCCCCCAAACCCTCCTCCCAACCACAATCCAATCTTTTATCAAGAACAAATTAACCACCCCTCACCCTTTGCCCCAAAACAATCGTCTAATCTTTGGTCTCCGCCTCTACATTGCTCCCAAATCCAACGTCTCGGGCCCTGCCGCCCCTCAAATCCACCCTTTTTGTCACTCCATCCTGTCCTAAATTCCCCTCCTCGCCCAAAAGCCCCAGCGTTTCCCACTGCATCATCCTCTGCGAAATCCAATCTTGGCCGCCTGGATTGCCCATTCATTTATTCTCTGAGGGAACCCAAGCTTTAGCGGGCTGCTCTGTTCGAAACCCGATCTCTCTTTAGCACCGAATTCTGCAAGAAAGCCAGAGTTGTTGCGGAGATCCGCCATTCCTGGTTGAGCCGACGAGCTTCGCCGCCGCGGTCCGATGTCGGACTCGGACCAGAGCACCGTCGTCTTCGGGCTCCACCTGTGGGAGCTCGTTGGCATCGGCGTCGGCGCCGCCTTCGTGCTCCTCCTCGTCCTCCTCTCCCTGCTGTGCCTTCTCGCCAACCGCCGTCGTCGCCGTCGCCGCGCCCCCGCCGGCCCCGTCCTCCACCTCGCCACCGTCGCGCCCAGTGCCCATCCCAAGAACCCCACCAAGCCGCCCAAGGACATCCAAGAGGTGCCCTCTCGCGGCGCGCAGGCCCCCGTGGGGGGCACCGCGCCCAAGGTGCCGCTCGCTCAGATTCTCCAGGCGTCCCCGCAAGAGTCCATCCAGATCGAGACCGGCAAGGAGCACCGCATCACGTTCCCGGAGCAGCCGCCGCCCCACCATCAGCGTAGCGGGGGGCCGTCGTCTCGCGGGGCCAGCGGCGAGAGCCGCGGAGGTGGCCCGGAGCCGGGCGTGCCCGAGGTCTCACACCTCGGGTGGGGCCACTGGTACACTCTCAAGGAGCTCGAGGCAGCGACGGCAATGTTCGCCGATGAGAAGGTGATTGGCGAGGGCGGCTACGGCATCGTGTACCATGGCATTCTCGAGGACGGCACACAGGTCGCCGTCAAGAATTTGCTGAATAACAGGTAACAGCGCTTCCCGTGAACTCAAGTATAGCCAAATTTAGAGCCTTGTTTCTGATTGGCGTCTAATTGATTTGAGTTTAAGCAAGATGTATAATTTGATGGATGCACCGGGTCACTGAATCTGACTTGAGATATTGACAATTCAGATGGTGACATTGTGCAAGAACTTGATAAAAAAAATGGCAGGTCGTTGTTAGCATGCTTAGCGTGGAAGCTGCCATTTGAGAGGCTGAAATGTGTGATTTGTGTAACGTGTGGTTTTTGTGTTGCTGAATTTAGTAATATACTTGGTTTGTTAGGGGCCAGGCTGAGAGGGAATTCAAGGTTGAGGTCGAAGCAATCGGGCGGGTGCGGCACAAGAACCTCGTGCGGCTGCTTGGATACTGTGCTGAGGGCAACCAAAGGTACCTCCTTGAGTGATAAGTTGAACTGCTGTATTCGATAAATGAGGCGCTTGTAACATAAATGTGTTGTATATGAATTCTTTCCAGGATGCTTGTGTACGAGTTTGTCAATAATGGAACTTTGGAGCAGTGGATTCATGGTGATGTTGGTCCTGTGAGCCCTCTTACATGGGACATAAGAATGAAGATTATTCTTGGATCAGCAAAAGGGTAAGTGCATGTGAGTTACTGATGATCTGAAAATATATTTACCACAACTTAATACTTACACAGTTACCTAGTTGTGCAGTTTAATGTATTTGCACGAGGGACTTGAGCCAAAGGTGGTTCACCGTGATGTCAAGTCAAGCAATATCCTACTTGACAAGCATTGGAACGCTAAGCTTTCTGATTTTGGGCTAGCAAAGCTTTTGGGCTCAGAGAGGAGTTACGTCACGACCAGGGTTATGGGGACATTTGGGTTAGTACGGTACTCATAAAATCATCGTCACACAAGATAAACATGTTCATAGTTGCTTATGTATCTCTTGTTATTACAGGTACGTTGCTCCAGAGTATGCAGGCACTGGCATGTTGAATGAAACTAGTGATGTCTATAGTTTTGGGATTCTTATTATGGAAATAATATCTGGTAGGGTACCAGTAGATTACAACAGGCCACCTGGAGAGGTTAGTAATGGCTGTGCCTCCTTATAACCAGTGCTAAATTAAGCACTCGTGAAATGCATTTATAAATTCTGCAGATTAATCTTTCAGGTTAATCTCGTTGAATGGCTGAAGACAATGGTGAGCAGCCGAAATTCAGAGGGGGTTTTGGATCCCAAGATGACCGAGAAGCCTACTTCAAGGGCACTGAAAAAGGCTTTGCTAGTGGCTCTGCGATGTGTAGACCCTGAAGCTCGCAAGAGGCCAAAGATTGGTCATGTGATTCACATGCTTGAAGTTGATGATTTCCCCTACAGAGATGTAAGTCAATATGGCATGGCAAATTTTTTATCTTTATTTTCAAGTAGATGCCATTTAATAACAATTATCTCAAGAATAATTTTGCAATATATTTGTTACCCCTATTTATTTTTCGTGTTGCCGGGAAAGGACATCAAGATGAACACGTCAAGTATCATAGTACATTGTTTTACTTTAGATTGTTATACCATACATTTTCTCTTTTGCCTGTTGCTGAAAGGGCTCCCTTTTAGTCATTGTAAGTTACATGGCAGGTTGATACTTTTTCTCTTTGTTACACGAAATATGGATTTCAGCATCTTCTTTCCAGTTTGAATCTGTTCAGGTTTAAGATGTGTGTAAATGAAGCCAGCCATTTGCCTTTTAATATCTGAATAACAACCTTTCCCCTCATAATTAGTTCAAAATTTACTTAAGAAAAGTTTTTATGGAGAAAATGTGTTTATTTATAGTGATATACCTTTTGTTACTCTTATTGCCAGGACCGCCGAGCTGGCAGAGCTCCAGGTCAAGCGAAATTGGGGGAAACACCTTCGGGTGAACCTGGCGATAGCAGCGGGAACGACACACCGAAAGGTCAATCAAAAGCAGACAATTCAAGGTGGAGAAATCAAGAGACCTAGCTATGATGGAAACGGTGATTCTTCCGGACCTTTGTGCATGATCAAGAAAGAAGCTGGATGGCGCAGACCTACTACAAACAAGCTCGTTTGCGGCTCCATGGGTTGAGTCAGGTGTGGAACCATGGAAAGCGTCTATGGAGAGATCGTGATAGCATCTGTACATTACTGGATTAATTATGGTAGGCATAGGGATTTTTTGGTTGGTTTCGCCGGATCGTGTTTATGTAAAAGATATATCTCCGTATGATAAAGGCCCTATACTTTCAGGGGTAAAGCTGAGCGTCGCTTATGACCGACCTCCTGGTTGGTGTCATGTTGCTGCTCAGCTTATGATTCCTTGTCCCTTTTCTTCCTTGATGAGATTCATTTTCTATACTTTGCTACTAGCTTTCACATAGAAATTTGATGGTTCAGTTCTTCAGGCTGGATACTTAGATTGACAGCCAGGGATTGCATGGCATGGTACTCTACTGGTATCATATAATTGCTGCTTCAGCACGAGCCTCCAAAGTAATTCGTGCGATCCAAATCTAATCCGTGAGCGGACATGGCTCTCGCGAGCCCGCCTGCGTCGGCGGCGCCGCCGCCCTGATCTCCCTTCTCCGGCCTCCCCTGCAAGTGCCCGGTCCAGATCTGGCATCCTCTCGACGCCCTCTTGCAGCCTATGTGCTTCTCCCCGCGGGGTGACGTCATGGGTGCTCGTCCACGACCTCGACCCGCGCCTGCGTCGGCCGCAGCGGCCACTCCGGCCGTGCCGAGCGCCGGCTCCTCGCCGCCCGCTGCTCCAGTTCCCACGACCGCCCTCGCCTCTCGCCGCCCCGACCCACGACCTCGGCGCGCATCCACGTCGGTCGCGATGGCGGCGGCCACTCCTGCCGTGTTGAGCGTCGGCTGTCCGCCGCCTCCCGCTCCAGCTCCCGCGTCAACTCTTGTCGCGGCCGCCCTCGCCTCCCGCCGTGCCGAACCAGCCGTCCAAGGGCGAAGGGTGGCCCGTACGCTCCTCGGGGAGGAGGCGACGACATCTTCGGCTTCGACAGAGCCCTCCGCTCCCGCTACAGCCGGTGCAGCCTTCCGTCCTGCCACCGTCGTCTCTAGCAGCGCTCATCATCGACTCGTCCCCGACAACACCCGTCGACGCGTCCCCGGCTGACTTAGACATGGGGCGGCATGTGTCCTGGGCTTCCCTTGGTGACGAGAATGTTGACGATGTGGAAGAGGAGGAGTTGGCCCCATTGACGCCACCGGCTGCCAAAAGCTCTGTCCCGGCAGCTCAGCATACTGATCGGTGTGTGATGCACGAGAGAGAGGCGAGTGGAGGATGGCAAGATGTGCTGCTTCGGCATGGTCGGCGCTGTCTGGAGTCGCCAGCTCCGGCATTGCCCCCTCGTCCCATTCCGGCGTGGCTCTTTGGTAGGTGTTGCAGATGTCTTGCTCCTGGTCATCGAGCGGCTGATTGCATAGATCCCTTGAGGTGCTCCCGCTGCTTGGAGAACGGCCACTGGGCGCGTGGGTGTCGCAATGCTTGGCGTCCATTCAGCTCACTTGCATGCCTTGCCATGCCGCCACGGTCTCGCCTCGACACCGAGCATTACCGAGCTCCAACTCCTTGTGATGGTCCGATGGTATCCCAGCTCCCCTCCAAGGTGCTTCACCGAAGGTCCTGGGCATCGGTCGTTTCCGCTCATGCTGAGTCGGGAACCCAATCTGAAGTACTGCTCCAGTCCACTCTAGCAGCCCAGGTTAAGCTCCTGGTGCGCGTTGGGAGCTTTCTGGAGCGAGCGGAGGCTGCTCTGGGAAAGCTCTCTCTTGTGCCGGTTGTGTTGCAATCCGCTCCTACGTCACATCCTTCTAGTGAGGTTGATGTTGATGGCTTAGTGGAGAACAGGGTTGAGGAGCTCTATGGTTGTTTCTCCCCTAGAGCTATGGACAACTCATCATCGCCGTCTGCCTTGCCCACTGTAATGTCTACCGCTGAGGGCGGGACCATTCCTGTGGTTGTGCCTCCGGTGTTGCAGGTGATGCCCGAGCTTCAAGCGTTATGTGCGAGCTCTGATTCGCCTCTATCAATGGAGCATATGATGGTGGACACGCAGACAACCACGTGTGAGGGACATGATTCAACCTTGACATGTGAGTCGAGTGAGGTGAACTCGCCTGCGCGCTCACATGTGGCTTCTGCACCCATTCCACCCTCGCCGACGGATAATTCCAATGCTCTCTTTGCAAAAGAGCTTTGTGACTTGCTCGCTAGCGTGGAGGCTATTAGCCCTGGAACTGGAAGGGCAATTGCTTGCCTCCCGACGGGAACGACATTCAAGGGCAAATACAAGGTGAGTGATTGCCCTCGGACTAGTATAGTGAAAGAGAAGTCACTAAGGTGCAAAGGCAAAAAGAGTGGCGCCATAGGTAAGACGCCCGCAGCTGCTTAATGGATGATTCTCGGTCCCTCGGCTCATCCTCACGGTTCGGGTTGTCATTGTGGTTTCGGCGTGGTTCACTATCTTTTGTTGGGATGTTCTTGTCGGGTTCAAAATTGTGGTGTACAAGCATGCGGAGTTATTGTGTGTTAGGAGGGTTTGGCGGGTTGCACGTGTGCTCGTGGGGTCATGATTGGTGAATAACCCAATTATGGTCTGATTGTTTCGGTTTTAGCCCGGTTTCCCGTACATTAACCGGACAATTCTCTTCTTCTTAATTAATCGATGAGGCAATTCTTTTGCCTCCATTTTGAAAAAAATAATTGTTGCTTCAAGCTGGAGTCCTGGAGGGGGAGGAAAAGGAGAGGTTGGTGGCATGCGAGGCCATGGTCTAACCTACCTGGCATTGTTTAGCAAAGTAGTATTAACAGCTGACGATACTATCATTATTCAGCCATGCTTGACAGTGAAGACAGCTTAGCCTGCCTACTGGCAACCAATTGCACACTCACTCAGATTTTCAAAGGAGCACTGTCGGTCTCAGTGAGCAAACGGAACCGTGTAGTGCCTGCACAGAAAAAGGTAGGGTTCAGGTGGCAATCATGGACGGAATCTGAGGTGAATTAGGTGATCCAGGCTAGATACAAAACAAGGTTGATGATTAGCAAGAAAGAAACGTTATGATTTATTTAGACGATGGCGTTCCGGAGATGTATTTCCTGCGGCTGGGGGTGGGGGTGCATGGGGCCGGCGAGAGCTCAGCTTCTCCTAAAATCTCACAGGCGGCTTCGCTGTCCTCGTGCCGTGCCCCTACTACTGCTGTCCGTGACGCTTTGCCCGGACAACCGCCGCCGACAGTTCGCCATCCACCTAGGCTGCCGCTGCCACGCCCAATGTTGGTGGGAAATCACTTTAATTCAGCCGGATGATTTCTCCAGAAATCAGCCGCATCCGCAGCGAGTCACGCGTCATGGTCCCACATAAATCCGTGTCCATATCGCTCAGTCAACACGACATGGCCCAGCGAATCGTTCATCTACCCAACCCATCCTTATCCTCTTTCCTCGTTCCTTTGCCATGGACGATGCTAAAGCTCTCACACGCTCCCTCGGCAGTTGGTGCTGCAAGCTGCAGACGGAGGGACGATGGTGCTGCGAGGGGTGGCCGCGGACGCCGGCGCTGTGAGGTACCCCGGTTGCTGCCAGCGGACAGTGGCCACCATGTCTAGTGAGCGGATGCCAACCCCCTGCCCACGGCCGGGCGCGATGTGCTTGTGGTGCTGCAACCCCGCGCATCTCGCCGCCATCCGAAGGATGCTGCAGAAGGGGATCGTCGTGCTACTAACCCGCACGAGCTGTGCTCCATGGGGCGGGCGGCGACCAATGGCGACGCGCCCTGCTTTCCAATAGCCCAGTGCTGCGATGAAGCTGTGGTGGCTGGCGAGTTCTATGATGGAGCACCGCCAGGTCGTGTGGTGCTGCGCTGGAGCTGAAATCATCGTTGGGGCCGTTTTGGTGCTATGATGGAGCTTCACTGGAGCACCGTCACGCCTCGCCGTGCTGCCATGAGGTTGCAATGGAGAATCACCGGTGGTCGTCGGATGCTGCAATGAAGCTGCACCGGAGCGCACCGTCACGCCTCGTCGTGCTGGATGTGGTTGCAATGGAGCATCGCCGAGGTCGTCGGATGCTGCAATGGAGCTGCGCCGGAGCACCGTCACGCCTCGCCGTGCTGTGATGAGGTTGCGATGGAGCATCGCCGGGGTCGTCGGATGCTGCAATGGCTGCGCCAGAGCACCGCCACGCCTCGCCGTAGTGCGATGAGGTTGCAATGGAGCATTGCCGGGTCGTCAGTGTTGCAATGGAGCCGCACCGGAACACCGTCACTTACAATGGAGCATCGTTGGGCCACCGGTGCTGCAGCGGAGCGACAAGAGAGCGCCATGGACGACCACTTTGCATTCTGCAGCAGCGGGGCAGTAGCAGGCTAGCAGCGCCGGCCACTGATGATGGAGATAGGCTGGGAGATTGTAATGCGGGATCCGTGGAGAGAAAAGTAAACGGCTGTGATGGATTGCATCTAGCGGCCACGGAGGCGGTTTATGATTAGGCTCGCATCAATCGGATGATTTGTAGCACGCCCCATGTTGGTGTGGGTGCGGGTGCGGGTGCTGCCTTTTCTTTTTTGACAATGAACACTTGGTAACAAATGTTTTAAAAGCAACTCCAACGGGCCGACCCAAACGGACGATGATTTCGTCCGCATTTTGTCCGTTTAGGTCGGCTGCCCGCCCGACGTCCGCCCTGTTTTTAATATGGGTCGCCAGCGCGTCCAACGCGTCGACCCATATGTACAGACGTAGCCGGTTGGCTGTCCAATTTTACATTACATTCAGCATATTGTGAAATAAAAATTTAATAAGCAAAATAGTTTCGCCCAAATAAATAGTATAGTTACACGCCAAATAAAAATAAAAATGTTTCACATAGTTTTGCAAATGAATAAAAGAAGATACATCTATTGGTTGCCAACATGAGTCCACATATGCTCAACCAAATCATTTTACAGTTGCACGTGAGTTTCCCATTCACGCGTGTCTTCATAAAACTGAATTAACTGCTCAAATGTTGTCGCTACTTCATGCTCAGGCACAATACTCTCACCTTGAAACTGAAAGCCTTGATCGTACAGACATTTCGGGCGCTCGTCTTCTACGATCATATTGTGCATGATCACACAAGCAGTCATCACCTCTCATAGTTTTTGCGTGCTCCAAGTATTAGCAGGATACCAAACGATGCCCCATCGAGATTGCAAAACACCAAAGGCACGCTCGACATCCTTTCTAGCACTCTCTTGCTCTTGGGCAAATCTTTTCCTTTTCTCTCCGACAGGGTTGGGTATTGTCTTTACTGTAGAAGGACAAGATATGGGCTGTGCAATCTCTGATGTATTGATCGGTGCACCAGGCACGTATATATAAGTACAGAGGTGGGCCACAACCTCAACTATACAGAGGAAACAGGAGGTGGGCCCTACACACAAATATACACGTACACAATATACTCAACACCCCCACCCCACCCCCCGCAGTCGAAGCGGCGCCAGTGACGCAAAGACTGGAACGAAACTCCTCGAAGGTAGAAGTTGACAGTCCCTTCGTCATCACATCGGCGAACTGTTGCGCAGTCGGCACATGGAGAACCCGAATGCGTCCAAGAGCCACCTACTCGCGCACAAAAGGAATGTCCAGCTCAATGTGTTTAGTCCGGCGATGATGAAAGGGGTTGGCGGAGAGGTACACCGCAGAAACGTTGTCGCAGTAGACAACCGTGGCCTGGGAGACGTCGTGATGCATCTCCTGAAGTAACTGTCGTAGCCAGGTGCACTCAGCAACGGCGTTGGCCACGACTCGGTACTCAGCCTCCGTGCTGAAGCGCGAAACCGTGGGTTGTCACTTGGACGACCACGAGACGAGTGAAGGACCGAGGTAGACGCAGTAGCCAGAGGTGGACCGACGAGTATCTGGGCAGCCAGCCTAGTCTGCATCGGAGTAGGCCATCATCTCCAGAGAAGTGGACGCCGTGAGTGTCAGCCCAAGGGTCATCGTGCCGCGGATGTAGCGAAGGATCTGCTTCACGAGAGTCCAATGAGAGTCACGAGGGGCGTGCATGTGGAGACACGCCTGCTGAACAGCATACTGAAGATCCGGTCTGGTGAGAGTCAAGTACTGAAGAGCACCAACGATAGACCGGTAGAAAGGAGCATCCGACGCTGGCGAGCCCTCAAGAGCAGAAACCTTGGCATTCGTGTCAATAGGAGTAGCAACAGGGTGACAGTTGAGCATGCCAGCACGCTCAAGAAGATCGTGTGCATACTTCTGCTGATGAAGAAAGAAACCGTCCGGGAGCCAAACGACCTCAATGCCAAGGAAATAATGTAGAGCACCCAAGTCTTTGATGGAAAACTCGTCACGCAGCCGGAGAGTAATCTGCTGAAGAAGAGTTGCAGAGCAGGCCGTCAGGATGATGTCATCGACGTAAAGGAGCAAATATGCAGTTCGTGTCACCGTGTCGATAGACAAATAGTGAGGCGTCCGAGCGAGTGACGCTGAAGCCCAGTGTCTGAAGAAACCCGGCGATCCGCTGGTACCAGGCGCAGGGTGCCTGCTTGAGCCCGTAGAGAAAGCGGGGCAGCAGACACACATGGCCAGGAAGGGAGGCGTCGACGAAACCGGTGGGTTGCTCACAATACACCTGCTCCTCAAGATGGTCGTGGATAAAGGCGTTGGAGACATCCATCTGGTGAACAGGCCAGCCTCGGGACACTAAGAGCTGGAGGACGGTGCAGATCGTGCCCGGTTTGACAACCGGGGCAAACGTCTCAGTGAAGTCCACTCCAGCGCGCTGGCGGAAACCACGAACCACCCAGCGAGCCTTGTAGCGCTCAAGAGTACCATCCGAGCGGGTCTTATGACGAAAGACCCACTTGTCGTTAATGACGTTGGCGCGAGGAGGCTGGGGAACCAATGTCCAGGTACGGTGTAACACCCTCGATGCGACTATATCTCCCACATGTCGAGGCACGACTTAGAGGCATAATCGCATTGAAGGCATATGTCGCAAGTTAGGCAATCTTCACAACATCCCATGTAATAAGAATAATAAAGGGGAGATAACATAGTTGGCTTACACTCGCCACGTCAATCAAGTACATAAATAACATTACATCAACCAAACACTCATGGCCCGACTACGGCGCCAAAATAAAAGAGAACCCAACAGGCGACAACGGTCCCGTTCACCCCCAACTGGGCACCACTACTGATCATCGGGAAAGGAAACATAGTAACGTTGAGAGTCTTCGTCGAACTCCCACTTGATCTCATACGCGTCTCCTGGAGCGGAATCATCAGGCCCTGCATCTGGTGTAATAGTAATCTGTGAGCCACAGGGACTTAGCAATCTCGCACCCTCGCGATCAAGACTATTTAAGCTTATAGGTAAGGCAAGGTAAATATATGTGGAGCTGCAGCAAGCGACTAGCAAGTATGGTGGCTAACTTATTCGCAAAAGAGAGCGAGAAGAGGAGGCAAAGCGCGAGCGAGAAACTAGAGAGCAACCTGCGCAAACATAACTCCAACACCGTGTCCACTTCCCGGACTCCGCTGAGAAGAGGCCATCACGGTAACACACGTCGTTGATTCATTTTAATTAAGTTAAGGTTCAAGTTATCTACAACCGTACATTAACAAATTCCCATCTTCCCATAACCGCGGGCACGGTTTTCGAAAGTTCAAATCCCTGCAGGGGAGTCCCAACTTAGCCCATGACAAGCTCTCACGGTCAACGAAGGAATAGACCTCCTCCCAAGACGTTCCGATCAGACTCGGTATCTCGGTAATTCAAGACACTTCGATAGGTTAAAACAAGACCAGCAACACCGCCCAAATGTGCCGACAAATCCCGATAGGAGCTGCACATATCTCTGTCTCAGGGCACAATCGGATAAGCAATCCGTACAACTAAAACCAGCCCTCGAGTTTCCCCGAGGTGGCGCTGCAAGGGGCTCT